GGGGGGGGGGGGAATGCTGTCCTTCCCCTCACTCGAAAACGTCCTTTAATTATTGCCTTTTTTCATCCAATTCTTGCCTCACCATATCAGCTAAGGGCATATTAAATGCACTGTTATTTTATGCGTGTGTTTATAAATTATTACAGCTCGACGCTGGGGCTAAAAGCCGCGCCCAAACGTCATGACGCACCCGGAAGTTCAGCCACGTCGCCAAAACCAAGACTCATGCAGCAAACGACTAGGTTGAAAACAACATCAGTAAGTCTGACCGAAATCAATTTGACGACAATGCAAGTTTACAAACATTTGAATGTGTTGATAGCATCAGATTGGCGTGTAGGTCTGTAGGAATTAAAATCGCGACTCGAAATAATGTGAGTCGGCGTTGGTGAGTTGGGCGTAACTTGTCATTTACACGAGTTTATGGAGTTTGAACTTTGCCTTTCTTCTTGCACTCTTGACAGTTTTATTTCTCTGACAGTATGGACATTAAAGCATATTTTAACTTGAACCCTATTACTTTATCATTAATACAGTCTTTACATAGTTTATTTTTCTTTAACTCATCTACGAATAACCCATCTGTCGTTTGTTGTTCTGTCGTTGAACTCAAAAGTTAGCCCACCTTTAATTTCAAACCTACTGCAACAGAGTATGCCTGTGCTTCCAGAAGTATTTCGGTTAAGTATGGAATCATACCAGTTACAGACTAATCACACTGCTGGCTGACTGGTGTTTTGGCGGTGTTTGTTTCAGTGATGGCCCACTTGGAGCAAGTTTCCAAACTGTCTGAGGTGCACCCCAAGCCCCCTGGTTTGGTTTTGCAGTATGGCACGGCTGGTTTCAGGACCAACGCCAGCCGTCTGGATCACGTCATGTTCCGTATGGGCCTGCTGGCCGCGTTGCGAGCCAAACAAACCAAAGCCGCCATCGGCGTCATGGTTACTGCCTCCCACAACCCCGAGGTGCTCCTTGGTTGACCCAAATTAAAGACACCTTCCTCTGTCCTAACTTTCTGTTGGTCTCGCAGGAAGACAACGGGGTGAAGCTGATTGACCCCATGGGCGAGATGGTGACGCTCGCTTGGGAGGGCTACGCCACCCGGCTGGCCAATGCGGAGCAGCAGGAGTTGCTTTCGGTGCTGGAGGACATCCTGGAGAAAGAAGACATCGACAAGAGCCAGGGGGCCTTAGTGTTTGTGGGCAAAGACACCAGGTGCTCGATAACACTGGTCAACAGAAGAAGAAAAAAATACACAAGTGCCATGAAATCACCCACATGCACAAGAGCCCAACCCAAGTTAAAAATAGGGGAAACACTTATTGATTGCATTTCTAGAAAAATAAAGACACACATTAGTTGTATTCACAGAGGATAAAGAATATATGCCCATGATTAGTCCCGTCTACATGTGTCACTATAGTGTCGATATTTATTTTTCCCTTGCTACAATAGTTGTGACTGCACGACGATAAATGCTAAATGCTATTTGTTAGCCAATTGCGTGTTACCTTACAGCTAGCAGACATTCAAAGCGATGTGGTTGTTTCAAATACACAAGTTGTAATTCTCTCTAATATTTATTTTGGCAGGAGCAGCAGTGAAAGGCTGTCACAAGCAGTCCTGGATGGCGTATCGTCATTGGGAGGACGCAGCAAAGGTTGGCGTCACTCGCCCGTACGGTGGAGTCTATATCTTGAGTTTGAAATCTCACCTCCTCACGTACGTCTGTCCCAAAAAGACTACGGCTTGGTGACCACCCCGCAGCTTCACTACATGGTTTGCTGTCACAACACGCACGGGCAATACGGCGAGGCCACGGTGGAAGGATACTACGGGAAACTCTGCCAGGCGTTTATCGAGCTCACCAAAAATGTAAGAAAGTTCCAAAGAGTAAATTACAAGCATGTAGGCAGTTAAAGGTCATCATAAAAATAAAAACACAAATACTTAGTTACTCACCGCCTTTGTCTATGTGTGTTGCGTGGAGACACCCAACCGTACTGATGACCAGAAGCACCTGACGGTGGACGGCGCCTTGAGTTTGAAATCTCATCTCCTCACGTACGTCTGTCCCAAAAAGGCTACGGCTTGGTGACCACCCCGCAGCTTCACTACATGGTTTGCTGTCACAACACGCACGGGCAATACGGCGAGGCCACGGTGGAAGGATACTACGGGAAACTCTGCCAGGCGTTTATCGAGCTCACCAAAAATGTAAGAAAGTTCCAAAGAGTAAATTACAAACATGTAGGCAGTAAAAGGTCATCATAAAAATAAATACTCAAGTACCTAGTTACCGGTACTCACCGCTTTTGTCTGTGTGTGTTGCGTGGAGACACCCAACCGTACTGACGACCAGAAGCACCTGACGGTGGACGGCGCCAATGGCATCGGCGCGCTGAAGCTGCGAGAGATGGAGCGTCACCTCAAGAGAGAGCTGCAGATTTCACTCTTCAACGAAGGTCACGGAAAGCTCAACCACCAGTGCGGGGCCGACTTTGTCAAAGTGCAGCAAAAGCCACCCACAGGTGGGTTGTGTAGCCTTTTGGATTTGTTGCAGTCGTCAATAAGACTTCAGGAGATTTGATTGGCATTGTCACGGAATGTGCCAGAAGGGCTTATTGTTCTATTTTTTTTATACATTCATTATAGTCCTAAGTATTTTGATTGTATATTTGATTGGCATTGTCACGGAATGTGCCAGAAGGGATTATTGTTCTATTTTTTTATACATTCATTATAGTACTAAGTATTTTGATTGGATTTTTTTCTTGTCTTATTCCTGTATTCTTGAAATGCATTGAATTATATGTTTACATGACATTATTTCATATATGATATGCATTTTAATTCAGGTTTTTATTTTTTGCCACCTACTGTTTTTTAAATTTTTTTTGTCCTTTGATGAACAAATGTACTTAATTATATAAATTCACACTTAAATTTTTTTTTTTTAGCATTTATAAATTTTTGGTAGTTCTGATTGGTTAATATCCTGATCAAATATTCATATTTTAGATCTAAAATTATTTGACTTAAATTTTTTGCATTTTTTTTAAATTGACATTAAAATATGCTATGAATATGAGTAATTTCCTATAACACTGGTCAACGCGATTTTGCAATTCTAATTTTGAAAACAAATATACAATCATAGATTTTCATCTTTTGGTTTCAACCGTCATTAACCTGAACATGTTTCATCCGGTTTCTGTGGTAGGGGTCAAGGTCCAAAGCGGCGAGCGCTGCTGCTCCTTTGACGGCGACGCCGACCGTATCGTTTATTACTACACCGACAGCGAGGACCGCTTCCACCTCCTAGACGGAGACAAGATAGCAACGCTCATCAGCACGTTCCTCAAAGAGCTGCTCATGCAGGTACGGATGGGAAACCATCGTGCCGCAAGTCAGCAGTCTCAGATGTTTAGTTTTTTGCTGCCTGGTGGTTTGGGACAGAGGCTGATCAACGTTTTTTTTCAGGCTCGCTTAAATTTAAAGATAGCTGTGGTGCAAACGGCCTACGCTAACGGCAGCTCCACGCGCTACCTGGAGGACACAATGAAGGTGAGCACACATGTGACTACGCTTTCACAAAGGAAAGACTATACGGGCTATTGCGTGTTGGTTCAGGTGATTGTGAGGTGCACGAAGACGGGAGTGAAGCACCTCCATCACGCGGCGCAGGAGTTTGACACCAGCGTTTACTTTGAGGCTAACGGCCACGGGACGGTAAGTCACCTCGATGGATTCCAGCTAGAGTGAGCTCATTTCTCCCTGTCTTGCGAACCAGAACAGCAGCATCTACCGAGGTATGAAAGCAGTCACAATGATTAGTTGAAATGGTGTCTTCCCTGCACAGTATTAAAGGCGGTCTTATATTTGAAACGCCATTGTGAAACGCCCCCTCCCCCAAAAAAAACAAAACAGCAGCATCTACTGAGGCATATAAACAGCCTCTCAAAGGATGTAGATGGTGATAAGTACAGATTTCATTTTTATCATTTTCCTCTTTAAAAAAACAAAACAAAACAGCAATATCCCTCGCCATCACGCATTCAGTGACAACGTGTGCATGTGCAGGTGTTGTTCAGCCGTGCGGCCGAGGAAAAGATCAGACAACTGGCCGAGGACGTCAACACCGATGACACCAGGAAGAGAGCGGCCATTCTTCTGCAGCACATCATCAACGTCACCAACCAGGTACTCATCTAATAATACCAGCGTAGTCATCTTAAGTCATGACCGCTTTTCCTCCCATATAGACGGTAGGCGACGCCATTTCTGACATGCTGCTGATCGAGGCGATCTTGGCCTTGAAGGGAATGACGGTGCAGCAGTGGGACGCCATCTACACCGACGTGCCCAACCGGCAACTGAAAGTCAAGGCAAGGCAAACGTACGCCGCACAGTTCATTGTTGATGGTCGACGAGAGTGAATGTTAGTATCCAGTGATCGCGTGGCGCTGCCTGTGTGTGCGCGGCAGGTGTCAGACCGCCGGGTGATCGACACGACCGACGCTGAGAGACGTGCGGTGAGCCCGGCGGGCCTGCAGGACGCCATCGACGCCTCCGTGGCAAAGTATCGACACGCTCGTGCCTTCGTGAGGCCGTCCGGCACGGAGGACGTGGTCCGAGTTTACGCTGAAGCGGACACTCAGGTGAGGACAGCCTGCCTGTCAGGCGTGTCAGTTTGCCGATGTTGCTTCCACACATTTGGGTTTTTTTTGTTTTTTTTTGTTGTTTTTTTTTTTTTTAGGAGAGCGCTGACTCCTTGGCACATGAAGTAAGCCTTGCAGTGTATCGCCTCGCTGGCGGGGTGGGAGATGAACCAAAACCTTTGCACTAGAAAACTATGCAGTCGTAAACAGAAACTTGAACTGGTGTTGCCGCAATACCAATGCAGTACCTCGAGACGGAAACGATACTGTGATGAAAACGTGAAAAAGGTAAAACACAATAGAATAATAGCCGATAGCTGAATGACTTCAAATTCTTTATCCATTTCGGAACCACAAGGCCGGCAGGCATGTTGGAGCCTATTACATTTGTATTAATTCAGAAAATCATAAGGATACTGTTGATCAAAGAAATACAGATTGAACTTTTTTTTTTATTTTTAAAACACTACTGAAGATATAATATATCCAAAACAGGGGTATGTTGATAGGGTGTGGGGGGGTGGAAGGTGCTATTGATGCTATGATGACTGATAATACAGAGGAAAAAAAATACTATCTGCTCCCTAATTCAGAGCTACAGACAAACCATTAGAGGTGAACCAATGAATCACCTATTTGATTATCAAATAAATCATGATTTTTGATAATCCATGAATCGTTTTCGGTACCATTCTCATTTTAATATTGAAAATTCTGCTTCTCACCAGTATATTTTCCTCAATATCTACTCCTCAATGAAAGCAGACTTTTCTTTGTATTGAACATTTGCGTTTACATCAATAATCAACATTTTTGCTGATTTTCTGTCATGTTATGGACCAGACCAGAAACTGTCTCATAATTCATCTGGTTGTGCACTTTCTGCGCTGTCGATTTGAAATGATGCCTTGTTTTTTGAAGGATGGGAATTCAAACATGCTTTTTTTTTTTAAATACGGTTAAACAACAAAATAAGTGAAGGATAAATTAACGATGACAATATTTAGTTGCAGCCTTGCAAAATCTCTTCATTTAATCATGATAATATAATCCTGCATCAGATTTACTGAGCGCTTTTCTGTAACACACTCAAAGTGTGCAGTACTTCGCTATACAAGCAGTGCCTCTTTGAACGAAAATGATCAGGAACAAGAATGCTTTTAGTAAAATAATTCATACACATGAAATGAAGTGTTTGAAATGTGTTGTGACCAGGTCCGTCTTTTCAGATTAAAAAAAAAAAGAAAAAATCACGTTTACACCAGGCAGTTCTTGAAATCACCTTGGACCATTGCTGCACAAAGAAATAATGGGATGAATTGCAAATTGTCAAACCTCATTCTATGTACTTGATTTCTTTTTTTTAATAAATCATTCACATTTGGAAGAACACTTCTCTGTTGATGAATTTAGAATGCATTTATTTTTCGATTTGCAGGACTTTTTTTTTGGAGTGGCACCGACGTGTCTACATCGCAGAGGACTCATCTTCTTGGTTTAGTTCTCCAGGCAGTGACTGCTCCCCTGTGGGAATAATTATCTGGTTGGTCAGGCAAAAACTAATTGCGGCCAATTCGAACTAGCAAAACACTAATGCGGTTGTCGATTAATACATTTAAGATTCAGGACCTCTAATAATGTATATTATTTTTTTTCATGTTATTGGCTAATTATTAATTGTGAACCTCCCCAGATGATCGAGGTGAGACAGTTTCAAGAAAACGTCATTCAAAGTCGTTTTGTCTTTTGAAAATACTTAATAGTGGCATGCGGAACCAGTTTTTTTTCTTTGCTCGTTTGTTCCCCCCCGGAATGTTTTTCGCGTCGCTCCAGTGTTTCCGGCGTCCACTTCTTTGCAGTAAATCAACGCAAATTTAAAGTGTCCTCTTCTACCTCGTCTCGTCCGCAATGGCTGGAAACTTCTGGCAAAGTTCTCACTAGTAAGTTTGATGCAACGAGATGAACAGGATACGTTTTTAATCGCCGAAGCCGCCACCTTTTTCTCGGGGCCTAGCATTACCTCCGTGGAAGCTAGCTGTCGATCTCGAAACTGTCCAGGAGACAAAATGTTTTTTTTTTCTTTTCAGACTTAAATACGACTCTTTCAGCTTTGAAAGTCAACGTCGCGTTTTAGCCCCGAATATTAACTTTGTTAGAAACCATAAATTGTGCTTAGGAACAGCTTGGGAAGAATACTCCTGTTGGTTATGACAACACTGAACTGTCGTCAATTTTTTTACTACTGTTTGGAACTACTCTTCAACCATATTATTGTGCTGTGAGAAATGTTTATGTCGTCAAAAGTAGCTGAAATGTGCAATTATGCCTTGGCCAAGTCTGCAGTGGGTGCTGGACAAGCAGGACCTCATGAAGGAACGACAGAAGGACCTCAAGATCCTTTCTGAGGAGGAATACTGGAAGCTGCAGATCTTCTTTGCCAACGGTGTTTACCTTCCGCCGTACTCTACAAACTCGTAGCACATTCTGTACCAAACAATCCAATCACTTTCACGTCCAAAAGCAAATTGAATCCCAAATATTTTTTTGTGGTCATTTTAAAATATTTGACTTATTCACCAAATTAGCATGCGATGTATTTCAAGTTAAATAGAAAATATTGCAAGCTCTGGTTGAGTGGGTTAACATATTTCTCAAAATGAAATAGTTTGTATACCAACTACTTATTTGAAGTGTATTTCAAACGCAAGATTTATGAATTTGAAATGTCTTTGAAATATTTTGTTTATTGAATTTTCAATGTTGACATTTTCAAGTTACTTTTTATGGTTTTAATTTTTAAATACTTACACTAATTTTAAATATTTAACTCAAGGCCCCATATTTCAAACTCAATATTTCTGAATTTGCAGTATTTGAATTTTATTCAACATTTTTTAAAATTAATTTTGACACTCGTCAAATTAATTTCAAACAAAACAATCATTTGAAATATATATTTGAAGCTGGCTTGAAATATTCATGGGTTTAACGTGGAATCATTTAGCATGTCCATCCAAATGAATTGTAATTATGAATTTTTGGGTGAAGATGTTTTTTTTTTGTCCTTGAATGACTGAACCATCGATTTGTGTGCTCTTGTCAGTCATTCAGTCTTTGGGAGAACACTTGAAGCTGAGGCAACAGGTTATCGCCACCGCTACTGTCTACTTCAAACGCTTCTATGCAAGGTAAGCCCCGAAATAATCGTGATACCCAAACGGGATATTGGCACCGTGACACAGTATTTGTGTAAACTTGGGCTTGTTTCCCCCCCTCCACAGATATTCACTAAAAAGTATCGACCCAGTTCTCATGGCTCCGACCTGTGTTTTCTTAGCTTCCAAAGTGGAGGTATGGACACTTTCAGAAGTCTTCACTGAAAATATTATCCGCACTTTTTTTTTTTTTAAAGTAGTTTTATTTTTTTCCCACAGGAATTCGGAGTGGTTTCCAACACGAGGTTGATCTCTGCAGCCACGTCTGTGTGTAAGTCAACATACACTCACAATCTACTAACTCGTATAATTGCTGGTTTTTAAAATTGAGATTCTTTTTTTTTTTTTCTCTCTCCCCCCCTTCAAACTAGTGAAAACAAGATTCTCATACGCCTTCCCAAAGGAGTTCCCTTACCGAATGAATCATGTAAGTCACACATTTTCCCGAAAGTCCTGATTTCCCGCGTGTAGTATTTCGCGGCACAGCGTCAAGGCATGAGTCCATTTCGATGTGTTCCTCCGTGCGTGCAAACCCTTTATTTATAGCGCGAGTGTTTTGTGTCGTGACAAGAGGACGGGAATGAGTTGCTATGATGACCCCAGGTTGTCTTGTCAGGACTATCTGGCAATCAGACCCTGAAGTGTGTATTCTGCTCATATTTAGTCTACCATAGTCTCGGTACCGCCCTTCTGATGAAATAAATGTTGTGTGTCCTTAGTGTGGACACACTCGTGATCAAGCAGCCATTGTCTATAAATCATTAGTGTCCAGAATTTTCTGCAAATAAACCCTTCAGAGGTACTGTTCCATCGACTCCAGCCTGTATTTGGAGAACCAACATCCTTATCATCCGAAATCGACCACGCGGAGGAAAGAAGGCCACTTTCCTCCCAGCAATCGGTGACCCAGACGTGATATCAGACTGAGGTTTCGGTCAATAGACAGAACATCGGGCGCCCAACAGATTGACATGGTAAAAGGACAATTATCCTCTAAATTGATCTTCTGTCTGTTGGCTGAGATCGAGGTAAGAATCACGTCTTGAATTGATAGTCTAAAAAGAAAACTTGTGGCTGGATGAACAGTGAAATGCGGAGAGGTTGTTTAGTTCTGTCAAAGAATCCTCGAAACCCGAATTCCTCTAATAAAATAACATTATTTTAAGAATGTTTGGAGAAAAAGTCATTCATAAGTAATTGGAGGGAGTCATGCTGACGTTTGGGCGTTTTGCCATAGCAGCTGTGGATGCGTTACGGGGTTATCAGAGATTACGCTGTATGTCTCTGAACAATTCTACAATAAATAACCACTTCCTTTTCCCACAAGAAAAAAAAATGTGGAGCATTTCAAGCCTTTAGCACACCGCCAAATATGTACGTCCCGATCATATTCCTCCACCACCTGAATCGGCGTAAAATGAAGTCTGAATGAATTGCGTTGTCTTTGCAGATATTGGAATGTGAGTTCTACCTGTTGGAGTTGATGGTGAGTTGCATGTTTTTGTTTTAAGATATTAAATCTATATTTAGGGGGGGGTTGTATTGGCCACCAGTGTGTATTTAAAAAAAAAAGATATAAAACATTTGATCTCTCTTCAACTCTAGGCTGTTATGTTCTTAACTTTCGACCTTACTGTTTCGGTCAAATGTTGCATTCAGGTTGTCCACTGGCATGGCCACTTAAGAGCACCTCGTTGCCACAGAAAAAGGCAGAATAGCTGGGAGTTTTTTTTTTTTTCTTCATGTGTTTCCTGTGTAAAGTCCAACTTGACAGCCAACGTATGTACTGTAGCTTCGAGCTGGTGTCGTCATTTCGGGAGCCACGTTCCCGAAGCGTGGAATCTATTCTGGCGGCTTTAAGCTTCTATTTTTTTGGCTCAAATTTTAGGCGTACAATGTTTGCATAGAAACACAATGAAATGGTGAGTCGCTGCGGTTTGCCGTTTCAGGACTGCTGCCTGATCGTGTACCACCCATACAGACCACTTCTGCAGTACGTGCAGGACATGGGCCAGGAGGACATGCTACTGCCGCTGGCCTGGTCAGTCGGTTCTCCGCCGCCCCTCCCTTTTTTGGGGGGGGTCTCTTCCCCCATTTTCGCAGTGCCGTGGAGCTTCTCTGCTGTGTCTACCCCCCAGGCGCATCGTGAATGACACCTACAGGACCGACCTGTGTCTGCTCTACCCTCCCTTCATGATCGCCCTGGGTGCGGACAACCTTTTCCCTCCCCGCACCGCCGCCATCGAGCCACATCGCCGAGTCAGCTGTGTTCACGTTGCCTTTTTTGTTTCCCTCCAACAAAGCTTGTCTACATGTGGCCTGCGTGGTGCAGCAGAAGGACGCCAGGCAGTGGTTTGCAGAGCTCTCCGTGGACATGGACAAGGTTTCCACTCACACGTGCATTTGGACAAATAGTTGTAGAGAAATGGCAGTGGATTGTCGTGTCTCACACACAAACACACACACGAAAAGAAATTTAGAACGTGTGACATCCTCAACAAAGGTAACGTAAATATTACCGCATTTTCCGCACTATGAGGCGCATCGAAAAGTCTTCCATTTTCTTAAAATTTTCTGAAAAAGGCGCATCTTAAAATCTGCTGCGCCTTGTGTATGGTCATTACGGTAATATGTTGACCTCCAAGATGGCTCCTTGCTGGAGACATGCTTACAATGTTAGAACTTGCTGTTGGTTCAGTGAACTGTGCCGCTGCTTTATGAAATACGTTTTTATTGCAGCTCCGAAAAAAGGAGAGCTGTGGTGTTGTTTTTTTTTAAAAAACGCACACTTTATTCATGGTTTTCACAGTCTCAACAAATACAGGTACGCCTTTGTCCGTCTCCGTGCCTTCTCTTCGTCCGTTCGACTTGAGAGGCGTTCATGACCTCCTCTGAAAAACGTCAATTAACGATTCCTTCGATGAAAGTATGAAAATGAAAAGAATGCATCAAAACAGAAAATCCAGCCGGGAAATCACAAAATAAATTCTATAGCCCCCCCCTACAGAATTTATTTTGTGATTTCCTCGTTTGTGAATACACAACAAAGGAATAAATAACAAACACTTCTGAGACAGTCCAGTCTCCTACATTTTACTGACATCTGATTGTTCTGTTGGAGCTAAGCTCAAGGAAATGCCAAAATAAATTCTGCAGCGGGGCTATAGAATTTATTTTGTGATTTCCTCGCTTGATTTTCTGTTTTGATGCATTAGTTTCAATTTTCGTAATTTCGTTGAAGTAATCGTTAATTTACGTTTTTCGGAGGTGGTCATGAATGCCTCTAGTCGAACGGAAGGAGCGTAACACCATCTAGTGGATGCATTGTAGATTGCGTTTAATAATCCAGTGCGTCCAATATATGAACAAAATTACACAATAAGCCATTCATTGAAGGTGCGCCTCATAATCCAGTGCGCCTTTTAGTGCGGAAAATATGGTAAGTTGAATTATTGATGATGTTGTGTTCACCTTTTTTTTTTTTTTTTTTTTAATGTCATGATCAACCTTATTGATGCTCGGTACACACAATCATCAATGTGTTCAGATCCTGGAGATCATCCGCGTCATCCTCAAGCTGTACGACCAGTGGAAGAACTTCGATGACCGCAAAGAGATCGCCGCCGTGCTCAACAAGATGCCCAAACCAAAACCGCCTCCCAACAGGTACCCTCAATCACTACAAAATGGCTGACAGGAACGCATGGAGTGGCCGTTTTTGTCTTGTTTTTTTCGAACCAGTGAAAACGACCAGAGCTCCAACGGCAACCAAAGCAACTCGTACAACCAGTCGTAACGCCGGCACAAAGAAAGGAGTGATGAAGACATCGCATTAGACTTTGACCCCCTCCCCCGACCTCTAGTGAGCTGCCCTTGCCATCAAAAAGGAGGGAGGGGATGATGACGATTGTGATGGTAATGATCATCCTCACCTTCTTGAACGTGATGCAGGAGGACTCCTTTTCATGACAAAACTTGATCACAACTCTATCCGTGGCAGCAAGTGAGTAAAGTGTGTGTGTGTGTGTGTGTGTGTGTGTGTATTGCTCAGGGTGCAATAGTATTGTCCACTCGAAGTAATCTGATCCTTTCAAATCCATCAATTGCCTTTTTCACCACATCCATTTTGTAAATATGTTCATATTCATTCAGTCATGATGATTCCACTTTAATTTTATTTTTTGTTGAAATGTCAATCTTAGATTTGGTTCGCTCCCACTCAACTGAAAGAGAAGCTCTTTCTTGAAACTTTTTGTAAAAAGATTGGCATCTATTTACTCGTGGACTTGATAACCTGTGCACAAATGTATGACCGTGTAGTTTTGCGTTGTGCGTGCATGTACCAACGACAAGGTACTTTGAAAGCCTTACAAAATAAAAGCTGCTGACATTAGAGAGGAGACGGTGTTCCATTTCAGGGTGTAAATTAGGACGTTTCTTTGCTGGAGAGGATTTTGCCGCACAGTCCTGAAGGGTGTTGGTTGTTTTCCTGAGTGATTTCTGTCTCACACGCGTCACTGGTGATTCATATTAAGCATTTTAACCAAGTTGTGCATTCCTGAAGGGTGGGCGGCGGGCACTTAACTGAATTCTGGCACTGTCCATCTGCCTACATGACTGTTCTCTTGAGGCTGAAATGTTTTGTTTTTTTCTTTTGTTTTTTTTTTTTTAAGGGCTGTCACCCGACCGGACGGAATATTCCGTTACCGGAAGCGGATTTGTCGACTTGAATATAATGCAAATGAAAATTTTTCGTGGATAAGCTTGTCACTTTATACACCCATTCTCTCACACACGCCACACACTTCTGAGACTATCCAGTCGCCTACATTTTACTGACATCTCTGATCGTTCTGTTGGAGTATACTCAAGGAAATGCCAAAATAAATTCTGTCAGGGGGCTATAGAATTTATTTTGAGATTTCCTCGTTTGATTTTCTGTTTTGATGCATTATTTTCAATTTTCGTAATTTCATTGAAGTAATCGTTAATTTACGTTTTTCGGAGGTGGTCATGAACGCCTCGAGTCGAACGGAAGGAGCGGAGGTCCATCTAGTAGATGCATTGTAGATTGCGTTTTATAATCCAGTGCGTCCAATATATGAACAAAATTACAAAATAGGCCATTCATTGAATGTGCGCCTCATAATCCAGTGCGCCTTTTAGTGCGGAAAATACGGTATATATCTATAATATACACACAGACACACAAGTAGAGACTTGTCCTTGCCTACCTGCGACCGCTGGTGAGCTCATCACTGGACCCGCTACAGTTTGCCTACCAGCCCAGCATCGGTGTGGAGGAAGCCATCATCTACCTCCTTCACTCGGTGCTGTTTCACTTGGAGAATGCTGGGAGCACTGTGAGGATCATGTTCTTTGATTTCTCCAGTGCCTTCAACACCATCCAGCCCAACTTACTGGGGGACAAGCTGCCGCACGCCGGAGTGGACCACCACCTCACATCATGGATGACAGATGACCTCACAAACCGGCCACAGTATGTGAGAGCACAGAGCTGTGAGTCGGACCGGCTTCTCTGCAGCACTAGGGCGCCGCAGGGGATGGTCCTGGCTCCATTCCTGTTCACCCTCTACACCTCCGCGATTGTCGGCCTCATTGCAGAAGGAGATGATATATATGTATATATATTTTAACCGAAAAAAACGTGTTAAGAAATGCATTTTTAGCTCAGAAAAACGAACATGTTTAGTAAGGGATTGGAGCTGAAAAAAACACCATGTATAGTAAGGCGTTTTTATCCCCCCACCAAAAAACATGTAAAGTAAGGCGTTAACTGAAAAAAAAAACCCGACCATGTATAGTAAGTCGTTTATAGCCCCGAAAAACGACCATGTCTAAAAAGGTGTTTTTGGCCGAAAAAAAACAACCACGTATAAGTAAGCCGTTTTTAGCTCCGAAAAACGACCATCGATAGTAAGGCGTTTTTAGCCAAAATCAAAAGCCAACAAAAAAGACCATGTATAGTAAGGCATTTTTAGCCGAAAAAACACAACCATGTATAGAAATGCGTTTTTTGATCAGAAAAACGACCATGTATTGGAAGGCGTTTTTAGCCCCAAAAAAAAACGACATAGTATAGGAAGGCGTTTTTAGCCAAAATCAAAAGCCAACAAAATACGCCCATGTATAGAAAGGCATTTTGGGCCGAAAAAAACGACATAGAATAGTAAGGCGTTTTTGGCACGAAAAAACGACATAGTATAGGAAGGCGTTTTTAGCCAAAATCAAAAGCCAACAAAATACGCCCATGTATAGAAAGGCATTTTGGGCCGAAAAAAACGACATAGAATAGTAAGGCGTTTTTGGCACGAAAAAACGACATAGTATAGGAAGGCGTTTTTAGCCGAAAAAAAAACAACAGTATATAAAGTAAGGTGTTTTTACCTCGAAAAAAAACGGCATAGTATAGTAAGGCGTTTTTAGCTGAAAAAAAACGACATAGTATAGTAAGGCTTTTTTAGCCCGAAAAAAAACGGCATCGTATAGTAAGGCGTTTTTAGCTGAAAAAAACGAAATAGTACAGCAAGGCGTTTTTAGCTCGAAAAAAAACGACATAGTATATATAGTAAGGCGTTTTTAGGCGAAAAAAACGACATAGTATATATAGTAAGGCGTTTTTAGGCGAAAAAAACGACATAGTATATATAGTAAGGCGTTTTTAGGCGAAAAAAACGACATAGTATATATAGTAAGGCGTTTTTAGGCGAAAAAAACGACATAGTATATATAGTAAGGCGTTTTTAGGCGAAAAAAACGACATAGTATATATAGTAAGGCGTTTTTAGGCGAAAAAAACGACATAGTATATATAGTAAGGCGTTTTTAGGCGAAAAAAACGACATAGTATATATAGTAAGGCGTTTTTAGGCGAAAAAAACGACATAGTATATATAGTAAGGCGTTTTTAGGCGAAAAAAACGACATAGTATATATAGTAAGGCGTTTTTAGGCGAAAAAAACGACATAGTATATATAGTAAGGCGTTTTTAGGCGAAAAAAACGACATAGTATATATAGTAAGGCGTTTTTAGGCGAAAAAAACGACATAGTATATATAGTAAGGCGTTTTTAGGCGAAAAAAACGACATAGTATATATAGTAAGGCGTTTTTAGGCGAAAAAAACGACATAGTATATATAGTAAGGCGTTTTTAGGCGAAAAAAACGACATAGTATATATAGTAAGGCGTTTTTAGGCGAAAAAAACGACATAGTATATATAGTAAGGCGTTTTTAGGCGAAAAAAACGACATAGTATATATAGTAAGGCGTTTTTAGGCGAAAAAAACGACATAGTATATATAGTAAGGCGTTTTTAGGCGAAAAAAACGACATAGTATATATAGTAAGGCGTTTTTAGGCGAAAAAAACGACATAGTATATATAGTAAGGCGTTTTTAGGCGAAAAAAACGACATAGTATATATAGTAAGGCGTTTTTAGGCGAAAAAAACGACATAGTATATATAGTAAGGCGTTTTTAGGCGAAAAAAACGACATAGTATATATAGTAAGGCGTTTTTAGGCGAAAAAAACGACATAGTATATATAGTAAGGCGTTTTTAGGCGAAAAAAACGACATAGTATATATAGTAAGGCGTTTTTAGGCGAAAAAAACGACATAGTATATATAGTAAGGCGTTTTTAGGCGAAAAAAACGACATAGTATATATAGTAAGGCGTTTTTAGGCGAAAAAAACGACATAGTATATATAGTAAGGCGTTTTTAGGCGAAAAAAACGACATAGTATATATAGTAAGGCGTTTTTAGGCGAAAAAAACGACATAGTATATATAGTAAGGCGTTTTTAGGCGAAAAAAACGACATAGTATATATAGTAAGGCGTTTTTAGGCGAAAAAAACGACATAGTATATATAGTAAGGCGTTTTTAGGCGAAAAAAACGACATAGTATATATAGTAAGGCGTTTTTAGGCGAAAAAAACGACATAGTATATATAGTAAGGCGTTTTTAGGCGAAAAAAACGACATAGTATATATAGTAAGGCGTTTTTAGGCGAAAAAAACGACATAGTATATATAGTAAGGCGTTTTTAGGCGAAAAAAACGACATAGTATATATAGTAAGGCGTTTTTAGGCGAAAAAAACGACATAGTATATATAGTAAGGCGTTTTTAGGCGAAAAAAACGACATAGTATATATAGTAAGGCGTTTTTAGGCGAAAAAAACGACATAGTATATATAGTAAGGCGTTTTTAGGCGAAAAAAACGACATAGTATATATAGTAAGGCGTTTTTAGGCGAAAAAAACGACATAGTATATATAGTAAGGCGTTTTTAGGCGAAAAAAACGACATAGTATATATAGTAAGGCGTTTTTAGGCGAAAAAAACGACATAGTATATATAGTAAGGCGTTTTTAGGCGAAAAAAACGACATAGTATATATAGTAAGGCGTTTTTAGGCGAAAAAAACGACATAGTATATATAGTAAGGCGTTTTTAGGCGAAAAAAACGACATAGTATATATAGTAAGGCGTTTTTAGGCGAAAAAAACGACATAGTATATATAGTAAGGCGTTTTTAGGCGAAAAAAACGACATAGTATATATAGTAAGGCGTTTTTAGGCGAAAAAAACGACATAGTATATATAGTAAGGCGTTTTTAGCTGAAAAAATACGACATAGTATAGTAAGGCGTTTTGAACCCGAAAAAAATGACCATGTATCGTAAGAAGTTTTTAGCTCGAAAAAAAAACGACAGAGTATAGTTAGGCGTTTTTA